CTCAGGAGGGGCAACAGGGAAACAGCTTCAGGAGGGGCAACGGGATAATGGCCTCAGGAGGGGCAACGGGGGAATGGCCTCAGGAGGGGCAACGGGGGAATGGTCTCAGGAGGGGCAACGGGGAAATGGCTTCAGGAGGGGCAACAGGATAACGGCCTCAGGAGAGGCAACGGGGGAATGGCCTCAGGAGGGGCAATGGGGTAACTCACTTGCTGGCCCGCACGACCTCGGCAGCCGAGTGGTTGATGGTCAGCTCGCTCAGGGGGATGCGCCGTTCCTCGACTTCGGAGGCGATGAAGGTCTCCTTGTCCCCGCTCTCCACCTTGATCAGCCGGATCTTCAGCTCCTTGGGGGGACCCTCTGTGAAGGACCGCAGCTTGAGCAGGTCGGCCGAGCACACCATGGTGGACACCGAGCCCACTGGAGTCTCTTCCTTCTTGACGGGAGACCTCCGCTCCGGGGGAGGCGGCGGAGTTGGCGGGGGTGGCTTGGCCCCATTCTCCCGGGCCTGCCCCTCGGCGCTCTGCACGTCCAAACTGCCCAGGATCTGCCGGTTCTTTCCCTTGCGAGCTTTACCGTCCCGGTGTCTGCGCGAGCCGTCCCGGTTGGAGCGACGGTGCCGACGGTGCTCCAAATGCTGCTTGCGGGACTCGTCCTTGGGGCGGGGAGGGGTGAGTGGCGAGGGCGCCGGGGGCACGGGGGCTGGAAGAGGAGGGGGCGGAGGGGAGGCCGGGGTGGGTGGGGGGCTGGCAGGGGGCGGGGGGCTCTTCTCCCGCCCTGCTCGTCCCACCAGGGTCTCGCAGGCGCGGCTGATCTCCTCCAAGACCTCCGACTCGGTCTTGACGGGCCGAGGGGCGGGCAGGGGCGGGGGCGTAGAGGCCCGCTCCTCCGTGGCGCCACCAGGGCCCCCGGCCCACACTTGGCCTGAGGTAGTGAATTGGGGCAGGGGGCTCTGGCTCGCACCGGCTGGGGGGGAGATCTTAGCACCTGGGGGCGTCATCGGTTTCAGCCGATAGGAGTGTTTCTGCCCCTCCAGCACATTGGCCAAAGACTTCAAGAGTGACGGGGTGCTGCGGGGGGTGAACTT